TGCGGACAAGGAACACAGCGACGATCTGGTGAGCGTGAATGTTCCGAGCATCGCTTGCATGATGGCTCCGTGGAGGCGGTGTATAAGGCGTGTACTGACTGTTCCGCCTCGGATAGGTATCACAGTTCACACGCGACACGCTACGATGCTGCTTTTGGTGGCAGCTCGGTCATCGGTGAATCCTGAAAGCGATAACTGGTGTGACCGACGTCAGATTAACAGACGAGCGTGCCGCCGTGCCGAACAAATAGCATCTGGAATCTGGATGTGCCTGCTGGGGGTATAACAATGTGTTGTCGCCCTCCGAAAAAAAGTGTCAACAGTAATGCATTCTGGAGCATGCAAGTCAAGCTGGGTAAAACTCAGCAATAAGCATTTAGCGTGCTTGTTTGCTGGGAACGAAACGATCTCGATTAATTTTATCGCAAGACTGTGACGGAACCAGCCATTTGGTTATTGTTCAATTCACTTTAATTCGTTTGTTTCATTCGCTGGACATTTGTTCAGTTGGTAAACAAATGTCCGTGATGAGCCCGCACAATAAGATATGTCATTTATCATTGCCTCCCTTCGATGTGACCTTACTGGACCCCTTGACTGGACCTAAGTTTAAAACAGTGCATGCCGCTATCTTCCTGTTCCTTCGCGTCCTCCTAGACGATTGGTGAGTTTTGACGTTTTGTGGTGTTTGCCTTGTTTCGATTGCATGTGCAGAAGGAGTGGGGGGCATTGGCCGCTTTTGTAACGATCTATCTCAAAATTGACTGCCTATTTCTTCACCTTGTCAACGCTGGCTGGAGTTGCGTACTCTCCGCCTTCCTGTTCAGTACCTTTCAACCCTCGCCCGTACTGGCCTTTTTACAGGGTCTAACGTTTAGGGGGAGATGTTCCGAACTGAAGGACCCCTCTTCCTACCCGTTTGGCTTCTGATCGAGCTAAGCTTCGCGAAAAATAAAACAACAAACTCAAGAAGTTCGTAACTTATGTACAGGGTGTTTCACTAAAAGTGTCAAAAAGTAAATGCTTATTAAAGATATATAAAATATGCAAATCACGTGGTTGCGCACGTGGCTTTGTTGCAAATTTTTGGACATTTATGTTTTGTCCATTTAAGATGTAATTTACACCCATACGGAGCGAGGGCAGGAGGCCAAAGTTACTAGTCGTTTTTTTCCCCTAGTATACAGATCAAGAACAGGTTATTTACACCTCAACAGGAGGGGTGAATTACACTTATATTTGGTGCCATCAGAAACATTGAAACCGTATGCCGACTTTTCAGGAAACGTTTTACTCTCTCACCTCGCTACGTTCCAGATTATAAAAGTTTAAAAGGGCTTCTTAAGAGGTTTAAAAGGGCTCCTTCGATGCCAGTTCCAGTCCAAAAAAGGCGGGGTCGCCCCCACCTCTCGGCGGAAACCGTTGAAAAGGTCAGGGTCTTTTTGAGGGCCTTTGAAGATAACAAGAAGCTAATTTAAACATCAGAAATAGCCAAGGCCTTAGTCTTACCAGTTATCAAAAACAACCACTGTGACGGCTGTAGCCACCAGCAACTGGCTGGACCAGAAATTCCTGGGCCAAATAATCAGCTGCCTCACCGCCCGCACCATGGCCAGCGCGAAGCCCCGATCTGTCACCGCTAGACTTCTCTGGTTTTGGTCAGTGACTCAGTAGCTCTCGCAGAGCTGAGGAAGACTCAAGTCGCATCACTTCGGGAGCTGAAGAGCACAATTCAAGGCTTTGCCGACAGTCTGGACGCTGAATATGAAAACGGGCTGTGAGCCACCTCCGGACACGTGCCGAAACGGTTCATCAAAAGAAGGGGCGGATATGTGGAATAGGTTTGAGTGACGGTGATATCGCTGTTATATATTCAAATGTCCAACAATTGCGGATGAAATGATATGAAAATGTCCTTAGAAAGCATTGTTCTTATGTGCATTATGACCTTTTACTTTTTGACACTTTTAGTGAAACACCCTGTAGGATGAACTCGGATCAGATTCAGAATTGTCTCCTCACAGTATTTTCTGCACCGCCTCGTGTATGTCGTTCCGACTGCTGGTACTCGTCTAAATCGCTGCTCATCATCTTTATTTTAGTGATATGTAACTCATATCTAATCAATATAGCTCCAAAGGCACTGAAATATCTTAGAGCAATCCTCTGACGAAACAGTGACGGAATAGTGGCCAATCGTGTCAATGTGGTGACTGGCTGTGTTTTGTTCCAGCCCGGCCGCGGCATCGCCCGACAACCCGGCCCCAGAGGGCGCTGGTCCCAGCGACCCGGCCCCAGGGGACGCTGGTCCCAGCGGCTCGGCCCCAGGGGGCGCTGGTCTGACAGCTCCGCTGCTGGGGCTGTCGCTCGCGATGGCTGCCCTGGTCCTGTGAGGTGCGCACGGCCCTGCACAACTCATTGGCACGGTGCCAACGTTGCGAAACAGGGCGATTCCAATATGATTAAATGTTGTATTTTGGTGTTGTTTACCTCTTTTTAGGGCGTCCCGGCGTCCTATGTCCTGAACAGTGATAAACTATCGTTCCTACCTTTTACCCGGTTTATTCGCTGCTGCAACTGGCTTTATTGTATTGCTTGGAAACTCAAATTCCATAATTGCTAGATTGTTGACTACTGACATTCCCGAAAATCCTGGAATAGGCTTGGTGTCTGTTGTATACCGATTTGCAATCTTGGTTTATGCATTTTTTGCTAGATGTATATTTACTTCGTAGTTTAATACGTTAAATCACAATTTAAAATCACGTGCCTTCCAATTTTGTATTCATGAACTGTCTTCTACATAAAAAATGTATGCAGTGACAATAATATCGAAATGTTGTCAGATAGCCCACGGCAGCCGGTAGGGCAGCTGACGCCAGTGCCGCGATACCAGTCTGCTGAACACAGCGTTCCGGTTAACCCATGGACGAATCTCCACAAACACATGTTACGCACTGCAGTCATTCAGGAGCAATAGGCGATCTGAGATTGGATGTCAAGCGTCTCTGTGTTCATGGCTCATGTTGTGATTGCGATCCCACATCCATCTTTTGATACGACCGATTTTAGAGACAGCATGGTTGTGAACCTTGCCGATGATCTCCAGATGCGTGCAATAGAGGTGGCAAAAGATAAAAAATTTGGGAACCAGACTCGAACCAGACCCGGCTGGACATCTCTGGAACCAGTCGGACCCGGTCTTAGTTGGAACCGGAACCAGTTGGACCCGTTCCCCAAAAGTCAATTGATACAAACTACTTGTAGGAATCATTAGTTGCATCATGTAAAACAGCCTATTTCCCACTGGGGATACTCATGAGCTACTGTGTGCAAAGAAACATTCACTTCATTCCCTTCATATTTTGCAATAGTGTGTAGTGTGCAAGATGTATAGTTTATGGTAGGACCCGGTTGGACCCGTCAGAAAATTTCCAGGAACCGGTCTGGACCCATATGGGTCCAGACTGGTTCTTTGGACCGGATCCTCGGGTCCACATTTTGCCACCTCTAGCGTGCATTTGTGAATTGGCAGAACACCACATCAACTGCATACCTCGATTTCAGGGCTTCGATTCCATCCGATGTCACATTTAGGGCGTGGCAATCATGTGCCAATTGCTTGTGTTGTGAGCTTATGGTAGTTTACCTATTTGTCAGCTGTTGTCATGTCAGTCGGTGTCTTGGTGTCATTAAAAATACAGTGTAAAGCAGGCATGGTTGTTTTTCTCGGTTTTGATGTTAGTGAGCGGGTCCTGAGCGTTGTGAATTGGATCGACGTATTTACGTAACGGTCATTTTGGGTGCGTACAATGTACAACTTTTACGTTAGCCTCTGCATAGTCAAAAAATGCCACAACTTTGCAACGCTCTCGCTTCGCCATTTTTGTGGGGAGGTGAAAGTTTGGTGAAAAACAGCTTTGATGGGTGCCCACAATGTGTATACATATATCAGGCTTTCTTATGGTCAGCTAAAGTCAGACCTACACACATCAACATAGGTTTTTCCACAGTGGTAAAAACCAAGGTAAAAACTCCGCTATTGACTAATCAATCACAGCAACGAGGGTCGACAGTCGACACCGTGCCTGTACGGTTTAGGTATCTGTCAAATGTCGTTAGTTTGTGGAAGCGCACTGGTGAGCCTCAATCGCCTTTCGTTCATTTGTTGAACTGTGTCTGATTATGCATCGTCATCACGTCGTGATCCTCTGCCTGTCATTCAGACGTGTTCGGACATTTCTTTCGCGCGTGAAAAATAAACATTATACGAGAAGCTCGGCCGAAACAAAGGGATTTGTCGCCAGCAACGTCAAGTTAAACTCGTGACGCCCCAATGTTTATGTAAATATGTGTATCATAGATCATAGGCCGTGGATGCGAAATTTAGCTGAATGTGGCGGTGTCACATTTATTGCCAGATATATGTGTAAAAATAATGAGGAAGTCCTGGTTGTCTCCGAGCCATTATTGATGCAATCAGATTGCTGTGTTCAGTCGCAAGTGTGGGCGACTGTTGAACCGAAATATAAATTTTCTGACTACGACCCTCTGCACACGGGACGGAATGTGTCGGGTAAATAGTTCCACCGACCAGCGGCTGACCAGCACCAATTCGGGTAAAATTGGCCATCGTCTTTGGCAGACCTTATAACTCACTGACATAGATCAAATTCACAGTCTGCACCATGCCGGTTCGTGTCCACTTATGTGGGCGTGAATGAACCCTTGCGCATCATTTACAGCAACGTCCGTTGGTAGTGCATAGTATCCCGTAAACCTCATACACGTGACACATCACCCTCACCCTTGTCGCGCCTCGCGGGCGTCCTCGCGTTAGTCTTTGATTGCCGACAATACACGATGTCGGTGTCTGTACACACGTACGCCCATCGATCCCGTTTCCACGGCTGTTCGAGTACACAGCGACCGTCGGCCGGAGTCCCGACCGTCCCACTCCAGCGGCGGCCCACAGGCGGCGGGGGCAGACTGCCGCCGGTATGGGTGACCCGAGGCTGGGCCGCCGGGACAGTTTGACTTCCCGGCCGCGGTCGCAGGGTCTGCCGCCGGTCATCAATTCGCCCGGGGTCCGGGTCGGCGGCAGGGAGGATGCACTCGACGAGACATTCCACTCCTTCAACAAAAGGTGAGGCTGGAGGGTAGAGGAGTGCGGTGCGGCTGCTAAGGGAGAGGTTTGTTCTATGAGTGGGTATTATGTAAACAGGTCGCAGACTAAAGAGGAGGTTTGCTGTTGTCGAGTCCCTTTGTCATTTTTGGCATCCGATGTCATTAGCAAATGTTATTAATTTGATCGTTCAGGCATGAATCAAACCAGTAGGTATTGCTCGCTAAAGCCTACTGCTTGGGGATAGGGTAAGGTGCCTAATTAGCGACCCCCTTAATTTGAACCGTCATTGCTCACGCTCTGTGGGTGCCACTGGCTTGATTTTCGGAGAGATCGTTCATTTTTCTATTAAAATAAAGTCATTTTCTGCCCCAATATTCACTAACTTATTTGTAGTGAGCATTTTGGCAAACCATTGCAAAAAAACGCTAATAGGGAACTCTTCCCGATTAGCGACCGGGGAGGGTCGCTAATAAGTCTATGGGTTTCCCCATATTAAAAATGGCAAAAAATGCGACGCCTGAAAAGATGAAATATGATCTCAGAAAGGTAACCTATACGCAAAGCACTCAATCACTTGAGCAGGAACGTTTATCCAACACATTTGCGTAAGTGTTAAAAACTGATCACGTGATGCACCGAAGGCGAAAAGAAGGCGGAAACCCAAATTTTGCGGGCTATCTCATATGATATTCGAGGTCTGCGCTGAATTCGGCACCCATGCAGTCGGTGACGACATTTGGCATCCCCTGCCACACATTGCAAGCTTCAGCAACACCTCATTTTCATTTCTCTCTTTTCCCCTTTCTTTCCCTTCTTGAGCTATTTGCGACCATGTCAGGCGCAAATAGGAAATATGAGTTGCGACACATTTTTAACCGCCATACTGTGCACAGTTGGGCGATTCACTATGGGAAAATGGCAATCAATTGAAAAAGGAATGTCGATTCAGAATAAAAAAGGTGCATCATCCTAATGTGCATCGCTTTTCATCAGAGAGGGCCCAAACACATTCGTTTTGGATAAGATACTCGTCATTTTTATTTAAACTCACCTGAAACGTCCCACCGGAAACATCGACGACCGGAAAATAATTTATTTTGATAACCAAAGTATGGCTGACCTTTTGACGATGTTTTTACCCCGTTTTCTCCTGCCAGTTTTTCTGTAAGGAGGTAGGTCGCCAATCGGAAAGGGTCGCTAATTAGGCACCTTACCCTATACAGGCATGTGATTTTGTCCATTGTCATTGTCGAAGGGCTTTTACCTGATAGATATTTAATTTGTTTATGCTTCATTCGTACCTACCTATTGGGCCGCAGCTACCTCTTCACTAGCTCTGCAGCGTCCATCACTCGTGTACCGACATCGTACGTGAGAACACAGTGTATATAAATAGAAGACACAGTACGACACAGTGCGTGAGAACACATCACCCCGCCCCCCCCCCCCATCCCCTTCCTCCCCGCAGTTTCGGCCGGAGCAGCGCGTTTCGCGGCAGTCTCCGCTCATCTATCCGCGCGTCTCGCTCGTCGCTCGAGGCGGGGCGGCCCGACAGCGCCCCGTTCGAGCTCGATGACCAGACGTGGGCGCTCAAACGCAAAAAGATCGGCCTCTCGCGCCGCACGGACCGCACGCTGGTCAAACTCACCGAGGAGGAGCAGCTACGGCAGATTCGGCTCAGCTTCATCGGTAACAACTTCCACCGAAAGGAGTGTGTGCTGTACCAGCCGCGGGCGGATAACAGCGGTAGGTGCCAGTGCGGCGCGGCGCCTGCGGAGCACAAGAATGGCGCACAGGCTTCGATTGCCGAGGAGGAGTGGTCGGCAACGAACGCCATCCAGGAGTTCAAGACGAATGCCTTTGGGCAGGTGAGTCGGAAAGGGAGGGCAAAGCCTCGCACAGCTTATAGCTTTTTAGGTCATTGGCTTACCGCACTAGCGTTTCAATTCCATGGCGCTGATGGCTAGCACCAATGAGGTGGACTGACGTCATGAACTTAATAAATTGAATTGCACGACCTGACCGCTGGGATTATTCGAGAAGCATTACTGTCACGCAACCAAACGTCTGCTGTGGTCCCTAATGCTCCGTATTGCGCCAACAGCCATTACGTACCACATGCACGTTCCATTGTTTTATTATCAACGTATTTGTGAAATTCGGTACGAACTGTATCTAAATAGAAAAAGTTACGTGACTCGAAATAATATTATGTTTTATTTCGATGGAGTTGATTGAGAGTGCCAATGCATTGACATTACTGTCTGCATCTTCCGCCATGAGTATTGTTGCCTACTCATGCATGCAATTGGCATTATAGACACGCAGTTTGGCCATCACCTGACCTTTGACCTGGTGACCAGGTCGAGTTTGTCAACGAGGACACGGGCTCGAGCAAGCCGAGCAAGTACCTTCGACTGTCGGACACGACGCCGATCTCTCAGGTGCTGACGCTTCTGGTGGACCACTGGCAGCTCTGCCACCCCCACCGGCCCAGCCTGGTTATATCGATACTCGGCGGCGCGAAAAACTTCCGGCTGGACGGGCGGAAGAAGCAGATCTTCAACGAGGGCCTCCTGAAGGTGCGTACCGGGAAAATATAGCTAATTTAGTGAACATGGACTGCAATGAGACGTTGAATTCCTATATTGGTGCATTCGTAATGTTTTCCTAATGTTTGCGTCTATGTACAGGGTTGGGCAGATAAATTGGGACAAAATACATATTTGCATTCAGAACGCCGTAGCTTAGAAATTTGTAAACGTAGGCATTTCAAATTTGGATCACATATTGTCACACCAATTTTACACATTTATCACCAAATATGGTCACCGTGGTCCACCTGCATCAGTCCTTATCGGTGCCTGGACTGGCCGCACGCGCGGCGAGATCTCCCGTCTGAAATGGCTCGTAATTGTAGCCAACTGGCACTGCTGAGGCTCACCACAGTCACATGGGGACGTTCGTTAGACTCACCCGCCAAAACGCCCCAGCAACCAGAACTTGTGTGGGCTGAGGTTTAATGAGGAAGGGGGCATTTTCCCTTGGGTGCAGTTTGCGGGATCCTCCGTTTCAGGAGATTTTGTATTTAATTTACTGTATGCCGGGGAGTTGACTCCTCGAAGAGCATCACTCCATGCAGGATGTTGCCTTCTTCCATCTTGTTGATTCGAACTGCCGGAATAATGGTTAGGTACGCTGTAATGGCGAACCCCCTCCCGATTCCGTAAAATAAGGGGGCCCCACGTGGCCGTCAGAAGTCACCGAGTGGAATGCCATCACCGAGGTCTGCTGCATGCTTTTTGTCACTAAGATTACGTCTTCTGGGCTGGTTGCGATGTTTCATGGTGTTTGCGGTTGTTCGTATGTTCGGTTATGGGGATACCATCGTCGAAAAAGACCTGCACGTGCTTGCTCGCTTCTCCAAGCCCTTCAAGAGGAAACAATCTTTTTAACGTCACAGCTGCTTCAACATCTATGTTAACAGGTTGATATGCATCAATGCATAAGAGTACATGTTTGAGGTGCTGGTATATCGCTTTCTCATGGCGCCGCTACCTTCGTTGTAAGCTCGCGCCACTGTTTTCGCGAGGATCCTCTGATTTAACTGCATTTTGCCTTTTAGCGCCCCTGGAAAACCGGGAGAGCGGCCGGTATCAATGCAATAAGTATGTAAGGATGAGTCAACATCTTCTCTTCCTCCAACGTGTACGTCTGTTCGATACACACTACTTTCAGCCATTTGATGGAGCATAATTAGAGTATTGGCATGCATGTGCGCGCGGACTAAGTTGATAGTGACTTGCTTAAGCCCACGTTCTGTGACCAGCCGACTCAAAATTACAACGCAACCTGCATAACATGGAAAAGTATTCATTAGCCTATATTTATGTTCAAAAATTATCTTAATCACTAAAAAAATAGTCGTTTTAGAGGAAGTTGAAATTTGTCCCAATTTATCTGCCCAACCCTGTATTTATTTGTTTCCCATTGTTTTATTGATCGCAATAGGTATAGGAACATGTGCATTTATATTGACGGCTTTGCCAAGTGTTAATTGTAATGTCTAAAGTACGATAGGTAACTTACCGTTTGGGTTTACGTCTCCAGGCCGCCAGATCGACCCACGCCTGGCTGATAACTGGAGGCTTCAACATGGGCTACATGAAGGTTATTGGTGACACCATCAACCAGGGACAATATCTCATCACGGTAGGCACCCGACGGCATCAGTATTTGTCCGTCTACGGCATGTGTTGATGACGCTGTGTTGCTGATATGCTGTTCAGACCGTTCAGTTTGAGCTGTCTGCGTTAGCATGGTAGCCTGTCCAGATGCATGCAATTTAAAGGGACCCTCCCACCTTAACATTAGTTTTGAGTTGAGATAGCCAAGTTTGCGGCCAGGCTCAGAAACCACCATTTATCCTGGTCGCAACCCCCGCAGCTTTATGGTGTTCAAGAAATTTCTTCCCTTTACTTGCAGGGTGGGACCAGCGTGGTCCCTATCTCTTAACCATTACGGGAGTCTGATGACGTCATCAGGCTTTCGAACGTCCGTTAAATGTTTGACTAAAACGTTTTGTAGCACGCGGTGGTATATGCTGCTTTGCGCGCAAAAAATGCCGCACTTTCAAATAAAGTCGCTAGGAACAGCGGAGATCCCAAAAAGTAAACAAAAGTAAAAGTCTAATATCTTGAAAACCGGTGAATATTTTTCGATGAAATTTGGTAGATATTCGTTTTTGCTCTTTCTGAACCGAACGACATCACTTTCATGCCAATTCATTAACTTTTTTGAAGGTGGGAGGGTCCCTTTAAGATTTGAAGTATGCACAATAAGGATTCTCCAAGAGGAGAGCCATTAGTTCTCGATAATTTGTAATAGTGTCTTCGTCAGTTTTTGCTGCCTTACTTCTTTAGTTCCATTTTCACGACTGGGCACGACTTCGGAAGAGGAATTATATCAAGTAACTGATCAATATTCAGCGAGTAGACGGTGCACGATGTATCTTTAAATATATCCCGTGTTTCCCCTCCCTATTTCCCCGTCTGGCTGCAGGGCGAAGGCGGTAAAATGACGCGAGGTATTCGCTGTTTGGCCATCTGCTCCTGGGGCTACATTCGCAACAAAGAGCTGCTGATCAACAAGGACTCCAAGGGGTTTAACCACGCCTCGTGAGTGCATCCAGACAATCCCAACCTACACCAAGCAACATACATAGGATGTTTGCGTAATGCATGTGATAGATACATGCTCGATATGCTTACGTCGTCTATATTCTTTATGAAAGATAATCAAGACGGCTGGTGATAGGAGCCGGTCGAGCGCAGCCAATTTATCCTCATTAATCGTATTGTGTTTCTTTCCAGATAAAGTCGGTTATCCCCAATAGGATATTGTTTTACAGAGCCACAGCTGTAGGAGTGATGCTTTTTTGTTTGCTTCATTTCGCAAGGCTGAAAAAAACTGGCTAACAAGTAACATGGAAGAAGTTATCCTCTTGGTTGAAAAGTGTCATTCGATATTTGTTTTTTTACGGTAGCTTGTTGCGGTAAAATGTGTTTGCTAGTCTTGAACGTGGTTACTTGTAAGTGCATATCTGTAGTGCCTAGGATCCAGGCTAGCGCATGTATGTAGACTGTAGGTAGAAGGCTCATGCATAACATGCATATTGTATGGCGCCTGATGTAGATTCACGGACTTGAATCAATAGGGTCCAATTCATAATTAATTGCGTGTTCATAATTTACTCGGCTGGAATCGCACCAAGTTGCATCGATCTGGGAGTGAGTACCGTAATTTGGTAGTACCTTATACCCAGCTGGTATTTCTAAATGAGCATTGTGGTGCACTGTGCAGTTGTAGGTACTTGTGAAAGGTCGACCGGTGTCCCTGAACACCAAATTTGATTTTTCTTAGCGTGTATTTTATTTACCATCGATGTTTTCACAATGCATATTATATTGTGTTAGGATACCAGTGGTGCACCTGTTGACTAGTTATGTCCCGACTCTTGATGGATACGCTTGAAAATGTGCAACCTTACCTGGATACCAGCTTGATCTGGTTCTTAGCCTAACCTAATTTGACTCTGACTCGACTCTGACCAAACCCTCACCTGACCCTGACCTGACCTGACCCTGACCCTAACCTGACTCCGACCTGACCTGACCGTGACCCTGGCCCTGCGTGACCCGACTTTGACCGAACCCTGACCTGTCCCTGTTCTTGTCTTGATCTGGCCCTGACCTTGACCTGAACCTGACCTGACCTCACTGCTAACCCTGACCTGACCCTGACCCATCACCCATTTACCCCAGATACAAGACATCCACGATAGTTCGCCCGCACGAGCCGGTGTCCCTGAACGGTGACCACACGCACTTTCTGTTGGTGGACAACGGGATGCGGGGAACCCCCACTGGGGCGGCCGAACTCAGGTGAGACTCCGGGAGGGGGGGGGGATGAGGGACACGACGGGGTCCCTAGCGGGTAAATGGTGATGATAATATTTTTAAGACGCTTTTTGTTTACGAGATGCCGACACATCATGATGCTTTTAGTGCATTGAAATGTATTGAAGCTCAACTTCGCTGGATCAGATCGTGGATCATTTGGCTCTCTAAACTTCATTGGGTTTGTTTGGATTCTAGGATCAGACGTTGTTTTCAAATAGGGCACGTAAACATATGTGAATCCGTACGATTCAGTTGTAGTTCGTACAATTTTCTCTGAGTATATTTACACAGTATACTTTCATTAACAATCCACCATTTATTATTCCATGCCGGCCCTGAACCGGGGCTTCACTCTGCAGTTCTCACCTACGCCGACCCCTCCCCCCCGCCGACTGCCCCCCCCCCCCCACCGCAGGGCCAAGCTGGAGGAGCGGATTGCCGACCCGGGTGTGGGCGGCCTGGGCATCCCCGTGATCCTGCTGATCCTGGAGGGCGGCCTGGGCGTGATCGTGGACGTGCTACACTCTCTGCGCCGCGGCATCCCCGTGGTGGTCATCCGAGGCACCGGCCGGGCGGCTGACATCATCGCCTTCGCACAGTGCGAGGTCGCCAAACGCAGCCGGTGAGCTAGCCAGGCCGGTAGTCAAAGGGACATTGAATCCTCTCTACGGAGCTGAATGATAAAGAATGACTTGAGGGCTGGCTGGGTGAAAGGCAGGGCCAGGAGCAGCGGGGTCGGGGTTGCGGTGTATGTGAAGTTAACAACATTAACGTAAAGTTTACAAGTTATCAAAGGTATATGAAACTTATGTGTGGTTGGTGATGGCAAGTCTGACTTTGAATGATTTTTTTTCTGTGCGGGAAACCGACTTAAAAGCCTCACGTTTCGTCTAGCACTCAACTAGGTTCTTACATGTCATTTCTCATCGTCAGTCAGCAGCCACAGTTCCGCTCAGCCACAAGAAAGCGGCTCAAGCAAATGCTTGAAGAGGCCTACAATAAAAGTCACCGGGGAACTCAGGAGGAGCTGCACTCGTAAGTAACTCCAATTTTCGCCTCTGATCTACATAGTTTTGCTCTTCGTGAGTACTCTTTGGCGTTTGCTAACGTCAATAGTTTCGTGTAGTGTATTCGGTTGGACGGGATAACGCAGGACAAGAGACGGACATTGTACGGGACAATTTAGACAACATATACCACCGCCGTCCCTCAAACCCCTCTGCCTTCCGTTCATCGCCTCAGATCCACTTAAAGCGCTGTCTCCAATTGAACACAAGCTCCGCGTTTCCGTACAGCCGAGGCACATCGTAGGCTCCCGGGCCCGGCGGCCGACCACGAGGGTCCGTCCAGTTCCCGGCCCGCTGAGCCGAGGACAAGAACGGCGGCCGCTGTCGGTTGAAGGTCGGCAACGAGCCGCAATCCACGCCAGCGGTGTTGTACTCGCCGGGACCGGGGCTGATTTCGACCACCTCCTCGGGGCCCTCGGGCGCGATGGTGCGGCCGCCGCCCAGCAGGTTTGACTCGGAGTGGCACCGCGAGTACTGGTTGGGCGCCGGCAGTCGGCGGCCGCGTCGAATCGGGTCGTCGAGCCATGTGATTCGGCGCACACCGTCGCGAAAATCGGACTCGGCGCCGTGGGCGACTTTGTTCCGCTCCGCCGGCCCGACGTCGTAGTGGTTTGGGCCCGGGTAACGGGCGTTTCGCCGCAAACGTGGTAGTTCGCCATCGCGCAGTGTGTGAGACTCGAACTGAAATCGTACCGGCGGCACGCGCAGTTTCCAGTTGGGACACTTCTCCGGCGAGTAGGTATCCGGAGAGGGGATCCAGCCCTTGCGGGTCCACTCATCACCCGTCTGCGCGGGTCCCGTGAATACCCGACTAACTGTGGAGTGGCTGTAGTCGGCGCGCTGAAACCGGTCGTACTGAACGCGCACATCGGCCGGCGACGCGTCGATGTCGATACGCATCGGCGGCATGCGTCGCGACCGGGACGCCAGGGGTCCGAAGCCGACGACGGAGAAGGACGGGCCACCGGCCGGGAACAGGCGCTCGGTGCGGTACGCGTCTGGCGCCGGGTTCTTATTGTGCTTGTAGTGGAACCGGCTGGCGCGGATGGAGAAGCCGAGCGGCTCCTCGGGCTTGGGTTCCCGGCCGCAGTACCGCAGCAGCTGTGCGCACGTGATGCCCGGCGGCGGCAGAAGTGGAGGTGCTGGCTGGGACGCCGCCATTTCGAAACGCGCAGCTGCAGTCGCCAGTCAGTAGCTAAGGACTGTCAGGAGTTTTGAAACGCTACTCTGCTATAACTGTACTGCTGTTGATAGAAAAGGTTCGTCAAAATTTTGCATAATACTGAAAATAATTTATTCCTTTGCCAATTTTTCGAAACGTAAGTCGTTTTGGTAGTGTACGTGGCAAGGCGGCATCCTTTGTGATATTTGCAAAATTTGCAAGAGGGTCCTTGCATCAAAACGTGCCATTTTCTGATTCATAACTTCCTCGATATAAAATGTCTTTCGCTAGCCCATTTTGCGAATCAATGTGTATTTGCAGCTGTTTCTTTTTGCACCAGCAAGGCAAGGCTTGTGCCAAATTCCCCGCTATACTTTTTCAGGTACGTCGATAAGCTAGAAGAATGCATGGAGTTCGTGGATCTTATCAACGTCTTTGATCTCAACAGCGAACAGGAACTTGACGCAGTCATTCTCAACGCTCTCATGAAAGGTGTGATTTCAGACGATTGTAACTTTGTATTGCACTTATGGCCAATAGTCTGTTGCTTCATGTTTTGGGGTTTAGGGTCGTTTGTCATGTACTTTGTTTTATTAACGTACTTCAAAATATGTGCACCTTACTAATTACCTTCTTGTTATTTTGAACTGATATTCCGTCAACACTTACGGTTTCAAATGCCGACGCCTCCAAACTACCATCTTATGAGAACTATTGTCCCTGGAGCGTCAGACCCAAGGCTATATAAAGTCAGACCCACTGTAACGCGTCACGGCGCTCGTTCTCAGAGTCTGGCATCACTGAGGACAGCCTGCTGCCGATGGAGCCGCTCCAGCTGGCGCTGATGTGGGACCGGCTGGACATGGCCGAGAAAATATTCAGCGGTGAGCAGGGAACGCGTGCTTATTTACAGGGAAATACTTACGTAGAGCATGGTCAGGGCAGCTGACCTGACACTAGATTCTGACTTCGTTCATAATTACTGCTGCCAATTAAACGTGTGTCGAAGCATGGATATTGGATATGTCATGTGTCACCGTTTAGCTACCACTTGCCAATACCGACCGTCTTTTATTTGATAGTTTCGCTTATATGTATGATGCGTGGGCTTGCACCTATTATCGATGCATACCCACATGCCTAACTCTCCCTGCAAGTTAGCTTGTGTGAGACCACGCCCGCACCAGCTAAAACACTGCACGGCATTTGGCGGACGCACGAAGACGGGTCGGTAAATCATGCGTATGAATTATTTCAGCCTTGTCGGTGTCCAATCTCCGTTATTTAGCCGTCCCGAAAAAGGCACGCTGTGCATCACTCCCTAGCCAACGTTACACGGTCGTAGATCGGCGACATCGGGCAGGCGGCACAGCATAACTTCAGGCGCTCTTCACGATTGCCATCTACCGGCAGGAAGCGCAAGCTATTGTATTGTATTGTATTGACAATCGCCGACACTCCACAAACACAGTAGTGGCTGTTCCGTGTCGTAAGTCACGAAGTAAAAACAATGCGATACGTAGGTAGATGGGCATAAAAGAAACATACACTCACGTCATTCACCACTTTCACACAGATCCTAGGCCTGTCACCCCGCGGAGTCCCTATTACGCTGCGACTTAATGTAACGCTGGAAACGAGCCGGGTCAAGTTCGATGACAGCCGGTGGAAGTTTGTTTAAAAGAGATGTTGCGCGATATAAAAAGGAGCGTTGCCCGGCTGCTGAGCGAGTAAAAGGAGGTCTAAAATGCCGGTCCTGTCGAGTGCTACGGTCACATCGTTGTTGGCGCGATTCACCGAAAGTCACAAACAGAGATGAAATGTCAGCCGGCTCGTCATACACAATTGCCTTATGGGCCACAGCCATTGCTGATATCTCGTACATACGTCGAGGACAGAGCAGTCCAAGGTCCTCTCGCGCGCGAGACACGTGATCGTACTTTCTGAGGCCAGTGATCACCCTGGTAGCAAAGTTGATCACGCTGAGCAGCCGTGAGTCGTTTTTTGCGGTACCACCGCCATATACAGAAATACAGTATCTCACGCGCGAGAGGACCAGACCGTCGACAACAGTTCGCAGTACGCCCCGCGGGAGGAGATTCCTCAGATGGCGGAGACCGATCAGGAGGCCAATACAACGACGGACCACGTCACCAACGTGTGCGTCCCAGCTAAGGTGGCGATCAAAGATCAAGCCCAAGTTTTTTACTGTCTGGCTCTCCTGAACGGTCTCCCCACCGACCCGTACGCTGACAGGGGATAGGTCACGTGTGTTCTGCCGGGTACCAAGGACGATGATTTCAGTTTTGGATGCGTTGAGCTTTAGACCATGGGCATGGAACCATGTAGACAGGGTGCAAAGTGTGAGTTCCATGCGTTGGATAAGGGAAGGAAGGTTGCGTTTGGTGTCGGATATAAGGATTTGGGTGTCGTCAGCGTACTGGGTCACATGAGCGTCCGGCGCGTGCAGGCTGAGGTCGTTGGCGAAGATGGTGAACAGGAGAGGACCGAGGGCAGATCCCTGGAACACTCCCATGGCATTAGGGAGAGGATCTGAGACCACTCTGTCACCAGAGGGAGATGTGATTGAAACGGATTGGGTATGACCGGAGAGATAGGAGGCGAACCAGGCTGGGTGAATGTTGTACTGCTGGAGCTTGGTAAGGAGCAGGTTGTGAGGGATGACGTCAAAACACTTGCTGAGGTCCAAGAGGCAAAGGAGTGAGAGGTGGCTACGGTCCATATTGGAGAAGATCCGGTTTGTGACTGTGAGCAGAGCGGTCTCAGTGGAGTGACGGGGGCGGAAACCATGCTGGGATGGGGATAGGAGGTGATTGTCGGACATGTGGGCGAGCAGCTGTCGCTGCACCACACGTTCGACAATCTTGGTAACGACAGGAACAATGGAAATAGGACGGTAGTTGGATATTTGGGTCGAGTCACCGGATTTGAAAATAGGATGAACCAGAGAGTGTTTCCAGGCATCGGGGATGTCACATGAGGTGAGTGAGGAATTAATGATATGGAGAAGGATAGGTCCGATGGCGTCAAAACTAAGGATAAGGATACGGATGCATATACCGTCAGTCCCACACGCACCGGAACGCTTCATGGAGAACATGACCTCCCGCAGGGCGCCCAAAGTTGTGCCCGACACCCGAAACCCGCACGCCCCCACACGCGGCAGACGGCACGGAATGTCCGGCGGCGGCCCGAGATCGGACAGGCCGGCCGCGACACGGGGCCCGACATTCACAAGCTAGTGTGGGTCCTGCGGTGCAGCATCATTCCAGGCGCTTATGCGTGCTGCCATCTAGCGACAGTTATGCAAAGCTTTGCCGGTACAGCCTATCTTCAGGCGCTACAGCTAGTGCCATCTATTGGTGAAGTTACAAGCCGCCTCGGTCGGGCCGCCGCCAATGATCTGACGCTCAATATACGGTTATTGCAATTTGTAACCGTGTGTTTCTGCCTCAGGTCGCCACGACTGGCCTCCCGGCTGTCTCGATGACATGCTGACAGAGACTCTGCTCAGCAACAAAGTGGACTTTTTCAATCTGCTCGTGCTCAACGTTGTCTTCCTGAAGGACTACCTGAACGTCCGGCGTCTGCGGCTGCTTTACAACCTAGCGGTGCGTTGGAGACTGCCCGTATGACTTAAATAGCTAGTTAAACGGTATTGTTTTCCTTAATGTCGGATTTTTCATTGAACTAAATCTTAGACCTTAATTCATTAATTCATGCTTTATATTCAGTGTTCATGAATTAATACGGTATGTTGGATGTTGGTGTTGCGTATGAAAATGGCTATTAAATAGGCGTCAACGATTGTCATCAGCGTCGGTCCAGAGTCTCAGTCACGAAAAGCAATAGACTTGTTAATCATCAATTACATTTTTACCGCTCACACCCTCAGAGCTCGGCTCGTTCCTCTCTGCGCCGTGCCATGGAGCGTCTGGGTATGGCCACCGATTCGACCACCATCCACCTGCGTCACGTGGACCGTCTGCTGACACACATCCTGCGCCGTCACGAAATGGAGCTGTACGACCGGGATGATCCGCGGCCCACGCACCGCGACCCCAAGCTGGACGAAATGCAGTTCCAGGTGGGCTTTGAGAAGATGGAGGGGGGGAAGAGGATAGGTGTAATGTGTGTTATAAGAGTGTGTTGGTAAGAGCGTCGTTTCCTATATTTCTACGGTCGTTTCTGAGCGCATTTTTAATAACGTTTGCTTTTCTGCGAAGGAGAGGATATCTAACAAAGTAAACGCAACTTGGATAAACTCGTTTACAAGCATTTCTGAATGTCCTCAGGATGCTTTCATAAGCGGTTCTGCATTATCTGAAAACGCACTTTATTCAGGCTCTTCGCCGAATTACTAACGATCAATGAGCACTCATTTTTTCTATTCACCCTGCGCGTCCGTTTCAGGAGCCGTGGGACGAGCTGTTCCTGTGGGCGGTGCTCAACTGTCGCCAGCTGCTCGCGCGACACGTCTGGACCCGTACCTCGTCGCCAGTGACGTTTGCCGTCATCGCCACTGCCATCTACCGGCACTACTACGACTCCACCAGCAGCGACAACAACCACATGAGGGACATGTTCGAGGCCCACTTCGTCGAGTTCAAGAAACTCTCAGTCGAGGTGAGGTGATGGGTGGTTACTGTGCTCATTTACATTTCGTAAACGAAGTAAAGTGCACGAATTCGATTGCGCTCGTTAACGTGATGACAAAACACTAGGCATACCTACGTACTGAGAGTACGTTAAGATGTCTTTTACGAAACAGAAAATGAATCTTTGGCTCATGTTGTTTCTCATCGAAAGCCCCGTCTAAGTATCGTCCTTCGGAAAGGCAAATGCCAACTCTTCCCTCTCGTTCCCCGGGGCAGCTGATCCACGTGTGCTACGAGCGGAACAGTCTGCAGGCGGTCTCTCTGGCCGAGCGGCGTCAGGAGAGGCTGGGCGACATGAGCGTGACGCTCCTGGCCATGTTCGCCGACAACCGCGCCTTCCTGGCCACCCCCTGCTCGTACGAGTCCATCACCCAGACCTGGATGGGTGCCATCCGAAAGGCGTCCTCGTCGGTCATCTGCCTGGCTATCTTCTGTCCGCTGCTGGTGTGGACGCGAGCGGTGCGCTTCCTGCCCCTGGGAGACAGCGGTGGCGAGCTGGGACCGTTCCAGAAGCTCCTGGCCTTCTACAAGGCGCCGTTCACCAAGCTGATCGGAAATGCGATCAGCTACGCGGCGTTCTTGGTGCTCTACACCTACATGATCCTGTTCGACTTTCGGTTCGAGATGCAGCTCACGGAGAAGATAGTCATCTTCTGGATTTTCACCATGTGCCTCGATGTTCTCAGACAGGTTGGTGTCGCTGATTTCACTATGTCATGAAATGTCGCTGTATGTAATTGTTCATTGAGATGAATATGTACATGCATCATGCTTTGTTCATTGCATTACGTAAATTCAGCCATGAAATGCAGATGTGGTACTTTTTTTTCGTTTATTCGTTTTCTATGGACATTGACCACTTCGTGGCGTAGTACGATGGAAGCTCATTTATTTTCGTACACAATCTGCCCCACCAGCCGTCAATAAACTTATCACAATGAGTGACTGTTCCACCCACGATCCAATTTTTGACCTCCCCCTCCTCTCTCCACCCTTCCCCGTTCCAGATTACAACCTACCCGTCCGAGACGCTGCAGGGCAAGCTGGCGGACTGGATCGCCTCCATCTGGAACAAGTTCGACTTCCTGACCTTACTGCTGGCGCTGCTGGCCTTCTGTCTGCGCATGTTCACCATCACCTTCCCCTACGGCAGGATCGCATACAGCCTCAACACGTGCATCCTCTACATCCGCGCATTCCGCTTCTACCACATCGTGTTCAAGCTGGGACCCAAGCTCGTCATTCTCTACAGAATGGTTCGTCGAGCGAGGCTCAATGGTTTGCCTATTTTGGGTTAAATGATGGTGTTTTTTATTAGCGAAGACGTCTTTGTTTACTGCCTTTCTGACTTCTACCTGTAAGTTGCAAGCACTATATAAAACTTGCTCGTTTTAGATCTGACACGCTTGATTAAAAGATAATAACGATTAACGACATGCGTTTCGATATGGAGCAGCCTGAGGCAGACGAGAAGTGCCTGATTCATTGCTCAAGCATTCCTTGAGCCCCTGGGCTCTGTCCACTTACGCCTGTCGCCAGATCGACGAGGTGTTCAACTTTATGCTGCTGCTGGTGGTGTTTATCCTGGGCTACGGCGTGGCGGCGCAGGCTCTGCTGTACCCGGTGCGGCCGTTCTACCTGTACGTCTTCAAGGACATCTTCATGGTGCCCTACTGGCAGATGTACGGAGAGCTACAGCTGGAGACCACGGAGGGTGAGCGGTGGCAGACGGGCGATGGGGTCTGGTGCGGGGTCGGAGCTGTAAATGAGAAGGGGAGGATCAATTAAAATGGTAGAATCCTGCATGAAAACTTGTACACAGATGAGGCTTCGGGCTCTTGATGTATGATAGTAAATTTAAGTCGGAAACAACGCTTACCATACAATTGCTGCCGTCCTACTATGCAATACATTCCTATACACCGATCACCTCATATTTCGATCTCACATCATGCCTATTTTACACATAAATGCGTTTTCTGAACGTCGTTTCCAGTCGTGAAGCCTTTAGCACTGCTAGTCTCCGCTAACAACTCCTTTCCTTTGCGACCCCCTCCCCCAGCGCCCGAGTCGGAGGTGTGCTACGACTCGTCGAACTCCGGTCAGATCTGCGAGGACATTACCCACTACGCCCAGGTGGTGCCGCCCATGTTGGCCATCTTCCTGCTCATCGGCAACGTGATGCTGCTCAACCTGCTCATCGCCGTCTTCACGTGAGAACTGGGGGCTCTGTGGTCAGGCGTCGTTGTCTTTTTGCGCTTGTTAAGACCTAAGGTCGTTTTGAAAGGTACTTCGCCGGAAAGAACGTTTGTTGTTTGTTTGCGTGTACTGTCTAACCAGTTGAGACAATACGACTTTCTGTTTCGCCTTGAAAGTTGAGACGTTTGGAAACGTCAAACCATTGAAGGACGCTTATCCGAAGTCCGTCGTTTCCCAATATCACTACCAAACAAAGCGTTCGCCCAGGTATGAGGACTGTCTTATCTCCGCAGTAACGTGTTTGAGAAGGTTCGCGAGAACAGCACCGAGATCTGGAAGTACGAGATGTTCCGACTGGTGAAGGAGTACGAGGAGAAGCCCGGCCTGGCGCCGCCGCTCATCATCCTCGAGCTCATCTGGGTGGCCGCCAAAAAGACCTGGAAAGTCTGCTGCCGACGGAGAAAGGAAAACCGTGAGAGCACAAAAGGGAGAGTTTCCTATGATCGGGGCGGCACGTGAAAATATTATTGTGATAAAATGAGCCAACATAAACAGATCGAAATCGGAATTAGTAGAATCTTCCTGATTCTGATAAGTTAGATACTGATATGTAGAATGGAGCAGTAATCAGACTAGCCATGTCGATCCGATGAAGCCGTCCATTTTATCCCTCCTGCACCTGGACGTGCGCTTATCGAGTAAAAAAAGAGCAATAAAAAACGTCCTCACCTCTAATATCATGCAATTAAATGTATTTGGTAGTACCTATTACCTAACTCAGTATGTACCTTATCAAGCCTAAATAAACCGTGCTCGATGTTTTCTCATAAAAGTACATGGCTTGGTAGAATTAAGCAGCACATTTTTATCTCCGTATTACTGTACAGTAATCTTGATATGACCGACATTTTCTCTGTCCGCACCACCGGCAGTTAAGCTGTACCTGCAACGTCACCTGGCCAACCTGGCTGTGTTCGAGCGGGAGTGCATGGCGTATTTCCTACAACGGGAGAAGGAAGCCAGGTCGAACCAGACGGACGAAAAGCTCGCGAGAATTGAGGAACGGTATGTGACAGGCTGCTGGGAATCAGCCATGACAGGTTCAGCGGTTATGAAAGCGGTTATACTCGTTAAAACGTTCCTATTTCGATTAACGATTGTCATACGATAAATCAAAGTCCGATCTTCTTCGCTCGTGGATTATTCGTGCAACTGATTTTTTTTTTTTGACTTTTGATGTTTTGGCTTTCGCTGCATAATCGTGCAGATTATACGTTTTCAGTTTTACATTTGTTTATTATCACCTTAGGTGGTGTTTATTTCGTAAATGAGGGCGTTTGTACTCTACTATTTACTGACAATGATGTTTTTCAGACTGGCCGCCATGGCTATGCAGGGCGAAAATGATCTTGAACGGTATGTATTTTATAATTAAGACGTGCCTTCCATGGTATACTCTTATGTCTATTGTCTTCGGTTTAACACGCGCACCGACGGGGATATCCGCCCCCCCCCCTGAGGTTTTTCGCGGATAGCGGGAAAACCGCGTCGCGTAGCGCCGCGAAATTCGGTACGACTATTCTCTCATCAATTTTACACATGGTGTGCAAGTTTGAACCTCCTAACTTTTAAGGTCAGGTCACCAGGTCACTTTGAATGACCCAACCTCAAGTCACTTTTTTGCAACTTTGTCACCGTGCCAGAGCTACAGTAGATGTCGGAGGCCTTTGAAAGTCGCAGGATGTTATAAGGTCATTAGTAGCTACAATTTGTATATCTCGGAATTTTGATGTCGGTGACCTAAGGTCAGGTCAATTTCGCGACCTCCCCATTATAAGTCAATGGGGGAAAAATCAACCCCCTTTTTTACCACTAAAACGGGTCGGAATGGCCCCATATACCATACATGACTTCATATACGATCAACCTTCACTACCTTGAGGTCTGTTTTGTTGTTTGGCAGCTGTAAGGTCATGTGACGTCATCAAATGTCACCAAAGGTTTTTTGCCAATAACTCCGTACAGGAACAAGATACAGCCGGCAGCCGCGCGGATGGTCTCATTGTGTTCAGCTCGTCAAGACGCATCGAATGATATACATGATGACCTCGAGGTCACGTGACCTGACGTCAACCTTTAACCTTGACCTTTCGAGGTCAACATATATATCATTCGATGCGGATTGACGAGAGGATCACGATGATGCCCATAGTTTGTTCCTATCTTGACTAATTCGAAAGTTATTCGAGAAAAACTCTCTCCATATCTAGCGCCGCCATTTTGACTTTTTCGATCCCTGTGACGTCATCTTTGACCTGACCTGAAAATGACCTAGTAAAAATTGTAGACCTTGTCCGTGCGTATCCGATGCCGTTTATCGCTTGTTGCTATCTTGCTTCGTTCTCGAGATCTCAGGGGGGGCGACCGCCCCCCGTCCGTACGAAGTTGGCGCAGACCCCCGTCGGTGCGAGTGTTAGGAGGAAGGAACATTAAATAATGTCCATGGAGATCGCAGTTTATGTATGACATCAATGTCGTGCAGCCATGTGTACGCTCAGGTATTACCTATTATTGCTTGAAGTGTTTCCGGTAGAAGACTTCTCCACCTCCGACGCGGGTTTACAATTATCTCGTTTAACCCACGAGCCGCTGGGGGGGGGGGGGGCATAAAGTTGCCCCCCCTTTACGTTTTGTGAAATATCTCCGAAACCTGATGAGCTACGAACGTGAAACTTGGCATAGCTTCAAATGAATACCTAGGCAATGTTTGAGGAAAGTTTGGTAGTTGTAGCACCTAAGATGACGTCAGAGTGACGTCATAAAGTTTTGTCGTTTTCCGATATGGACCGTTTCTGATGACGCTGAGCATGAAACTCGACTGTAAATGAACTAGATAGCACCTGATGTCATCCTAAAACATCTTACTACACTTCCATCTAGTTTCTGACCAATAATCGGCCCTTTATATTCGGTCCCATATATGTGATGTATCGTGAGGAATATGAGAGTCGCAAATCTATAATTTCACCTATGACGTCACTGTGACGTCATTTCAAATGGGATTGACACCAAATTTGGACACAACCTCGGCTAGGTATTCAGGAAGATGTGTGCAAAGTTTCGCTTCTCTATCTCTTCGCGTTGCGACGATATCGTCGCAGAAGTAAAGGGGGGGCAACTTTATGCCCCCCCCCCCCCAGCGGCCGGCGGGTGGCGCGGAGGCCCAGCGGCCGCCGGTTTAAAGTTTTACGACAAGTTCTTGCATTATTAACCAATTAGAGCATAAAAGACGGGCGGACGGGCGTCGAGAACGGACGAATGGATGGACGTGTTATATTGCAGTGATTTTGAGCTTGCTCTGACGTTTAATTTATTTTCAGCGTGGAGGACATACTCATGGCAGTGGAAAGAAGCCACGGAGGGAACCGGGTAAGTGCTACAAAAAATACACGTACAAAGTTGCGTATCTTTTATCATCTTGTCACATGCCATAACTCAGTGTCTCAGCGAATGTGTAAAATTCTTTCATCGAAATTGACATACCCTCCCCTGCGCCCGTCTCTGTTCCCCAGCCCCACAGTCGAGTCACTCTGGCGGTGCCCTCCGACTCCGACTCCGACTCCGAGTCGCTCCAGGCCACGACGAGGGGCGGGGCAGTGCCATCCCTCCGTCTGCCGTCTGCGCATGCGCGAATCGGTCACCTTGAGCGGCGACTGGCGAATCTGACTGATGAGTTCAGTAGTCAGAGAGTGGACACGGAGCGACTGCTACAGCGGGTGCTGGAGCGGCTGCCGCCCCCGGCCACCGCACAGGGGCTCAACGGAGCCCCAGCCGCAGCACAGCAGGGGCTCAACGGAGCCCCAGCCGCCGCGCAGCACGGTTCTAACGGGTTCGCAGTAGGCCTCGCGACGCCAGACCGCTCCCGAAGCAGAGCGTTTAGTAGGGAGAATGGCGGTGAGGAAAACGGGTAGAGGATCGGAGCGGAGAGAGAAGTGGAGCGGAGAGAGGAGTTGTGTGGTAGCCTGGTGTGCCTGCCTGTCAAGTTAGGAGTGCTGACCGAACTACATATGTTAGTGCATTTGTACCGGTGATATTTGGTGATAAGTGTTATGCTGTTGACTGTCACTGTGCGATGCCAGCGACGTTGGAAGACGCATGCAAACGGAAGTTACCTTGAAATAGCATTACGCTGTGTAATGTATGTAAGTACATCGTGCAATAGCTGGATCTTGCCTTTCGGACACCCTTTTCGATCAGTTATATTTTTATACATGTTGTTTGAGGTGATATTTGTATTTATTTATTCGTTTACTTATTTATTAGTGCCCTTTTATGTTGCGAACGATGAGTTGAATCAGAAATACACATATTCAGTTCAGTCCAAACTGCTATTTTTTTCATTATTTGAAACGTTCTCCGTCTGACGCTAAAGGGAACTATGGAGCACATTGATCTGGGCCGCCACCATGGTGCAGTGTCGCGGCTTATTTCCGTGAGGAAGAGTGAAGACCACCCAGCCACGCTACGGCTACTTGCTTACGGTCACTCTGCTCACCGTTCCGTGCTTCTATCCTTAGGATACAGAAATCCTTCTCCTCCACGCCGCAACCCCCCTCCGGGCTGGACAGGCACCTTTATCTCATGCGGGCTGCTCCCTTGGAGCGGCACGGCTGCTCCCGAGGGAGCGCACCCCGTAGCCGGGTGCAGTGAGTGCCTTGGGGCTGGATGGCCTGTCCTCTGGACGGGCTCAGCCCCGGCGACTCACTACGCCAGTCACCCCGTGAAATGGAAAGAGGTTCACTACAGTGACAGCGGATTTATTACGAATTAACACGAGCCGGTCCGCTCGTCGACCAGACGCGGCGGCGGTCGCAGGCCGAGAGAGCGACGTAACGGAAGTTACTAATAACTCCAACTATGGCCGCCAGGTGGTGGATGCAGACAGCGCTGCAATGCGTGAACGGGGGCAACGCACATCTTCAGCTGCGGCCAACAGGTGGCACGCAGATCGTCGCTCGGCGCACCAGTTGGGCACTGGTGTGGAGGCCGAGCGCCGTTCACAGACAACGCACCACAGGCGGCACGGCGAGCCACAGACGTCACCACACCTGTCAGCAGGTTGTGGTGGTGCTAGGGTGCCTGCCCAGACCAATGCCTCCCCCTTTATCCTATCATCCTCCCGGCTCTGAAATGGTCTTGCCAGACCGAAAGGGCCTAACCCAACAAAACAAACAAACAAACAAATCACTCTGCCGCACGTAGGTAATCGCGCTCCGTGCAGCTACTCACACATCATGACAGTGACTGTCCACTTGTCCGGCTCGAAACTGACGGTTTGATTGAGGTTACTGAGGAGTGAGGAAAAAGCTTTTTGCGTCCGAGGATGAGAGGGGTCGGAGGTGCAGTAAGGACGCAGCCAAGGGAAAGGCTGCGTACGAGGCTGTGAACTGTGAAGAGAGGCGCTACACGCTTTACGTCTTCGCAGGTTGAGGCGACTGTGACTGTGTAGGCTCCTGGCTCAATCAATGCTGGCTCAATGGATCTGCTGGAGGCTAGCGACATCTATACAACTTGTACAGCGACACCTAGGGGCTAAATTGAACTTATTTGGGGCCCCAAAGCAACGAGGAATAAAACCCGCGGCTGGAGGCTGGAGCGCGCGCTAAAACACGTTGTTTGTCAATATTTGTCACGTCGCATTTGCAAGCGATTCCATAAGCTCTTCGGTTCGTCTCCAAGCCCCTTTTCAGCTTGATTTGAACTGAAATGCAAAAGGTTAGTAAGAAAATACGTGTATTTACAATTAACCGTAAGATAGATCAAGATGGGTTTTGTGATTTTGAATCATGGGAAACGTTGTAAAGGGATTAGGCGGGTAGGTCAAAGTATCCTTGCTTACGATTGTTTAAGTGTCTTGATTGTGTGTCAACCTTGTTGAAAAAAATCAGCATCAACTTGTAAGTAAATTCAATAGCAAAATATAAGGTAAAAGTCTAGTGCCTTAAATGCATTCTGATTCATTCATCAATTAGCTTCGTCTAACTTGCATTGATATTTCATTCACATAGATGCAGTGAATTGTTTACGCTCCCATTTGGTTATATCTAGCTGACCATGTTCATAAATTTTAATAGCCATGATAATATGTTGTAGGTATTCATTGTACCGTGATTACGATGCCATCAATGTTTGTATAGGGTTTAACTGTTATCATGTCTTTTTATGCTTTCAGATTTAAAAAGGAACCAATTCAGCCATTCTGCTTGAGCATCTCTGCATTTGATTTGAGCATTCTCTATTGCCAACAATCATGGGTAAAGGCATCAATAAAGTAAGTCCTCAATTATCTTAAATGTCTGCAAATTGCTTATAATGTGTTGAAGCTGAGTGAAACAGATACTACATTTACAACCACTTACTTTGTTAACCCCCATTCACTCACTATTTTTTACCTACCTATTTTCTTTATGCTTTATTTGTTTAGTTTGTTCACTGACCTTTCCTAGCCTGAAGTTCTTTAAATGATTAAGAATCCAATTTGAGTGATTCTACAACTACATGGTCATACGCTGCCCACTCGTTGAGGCTCTCTTCCAAAACCAGCAAAGCCAAGGCAAAAGGTGACATTTTCTCATGCAGCTTACCAATATTGCACATGTTTATTGAGGTCAAAAGAGTTCTGATAAGCATGCTTAGTGCCTACCAGGTGCTTGGTACCTGGATGATGACACTAATTGATATTGCCTTGGTACTGGTAAATTGAGCTTTTATCAGCTGGTTTTGGAACTTGCTGATGCTATGAACATGTTTGCTGAAGACATCAGGCATCTGCCTTGAATATTTTATTTAGTCTTTTGACTGACATGATCCAAATGTGATCATTCATTTTACTATTCCAAAATAATTGTTCATGGCTTGTATGTTTCTTTAAATTTGCTACATTTATAGTCATGTTTAGATACATGGTGAGTGTTAACTAAACAGTTTCCACATGGATCAATGTATTTATCCAATTCATTGGTCGCTTGTCAATGACTGAGCTGGTACATTGACCAACATAACAAATAACAGCAAATAAATTCTCATCTAGTGTGACTCCCCTGCGTCATCTCTGTCACCATCTTGCTTCCTGCCTGTGCTGTTCTCGGACCTCAACTCACATCATCTCGCCCTCCATCGCTCCGACTCTCAGAGGCACTTGGTGACGATCGACGTGACGGGGAAGGCGCGTCGGGAGCCGAGCACCTGATCTCGGTCGATGAGCAGGGAGTTGGCCTTCACTCGCAGTTCGTCCTCCATTTTGGCCTTCTGCTGGAGGAGGCCGGCCAGCGCCGTCTCCAGCTCGGACAGCTGACGCTGCAGCACGTGCACGCTGTCGCCGATCTCCCGCACCTCCCCCTGCAGTCTGTCCATGGCCGGGTCCCGGCACAGCTCCAGTCCGGGCCGGTGCGTGCGCCGCTCCAGTCGGGTGTGCGCCACACGCAGGTGGGGCGTCTGGGCGGCCAGCGCGCGCCGCAGCGCCGCCCGGTGCCGCTCCTGCTCGGCGATCTCCTGTGTCAGCCGACTGAGCTCCTGCTGGATCCGGTTGCGCGCCTCCTGGGTCTGCTGCGCGCGCGCCGCCAGCGCCTGGTTGGTGGACGTCCACGCCTGCCAGTGCTCGCTGACTGCGCCGTGGGTGACCGACTCCACCTCCGCGCGCACGGCGGCGCTGTTGGCGCGGGCCGTCTGCGACTGCTGTACTAGACGCCGCGTGTGCTCCTCCCAGGAGTCAGGATTGCTCTGAGTGCGGTCCCAGCGCTCGATACCCGGGTAGAGCGCCGTGCCCGGCGAGGCGTTACCAAGTCCATGCGCGTTCCGATCCAGGTGGAGCGCTGCAAACTTATCGGACGCGTCTCGTTCGAGCTGCCGACGGGCCTCTCGCAGCTCCTGAAGGGACCCGGACACGTGATCAAGCGTGCGGCACAGCCGCTCGCGCATAGCCACCAGCACACCGGCCTCGCGCTCGAGACTCGCCTCCACCGGGTCGTGAACTAGGTCAGGGCCGGTGCGCAGCTGCCGGGCGCGCCGGTTGTCCTCGGCGAGCCTCAGCGGCGCCGCCAGCTCGTTGTGGAGACACTCGGCGCGTCGGCGGGCCTCCTCGAGCCGCTCAGTCTCCTGCGCGTTCAGCTCCAGCTCGTGCAGCACCTCGTGACGCCAGCGGCCGACGGCGCCGGCGCGCTCGGCCAGCCGCTGCGTGCTCTCACGCTGCGCCTGCGCCGCCGCGCGGTCTGCGTCCCGGATGGCCCTCTGCGCGGCACAGCGGGCCTGGGCACCGGCGGCGCGCCGGCGGTCGCATGTCGTCAGGTTGTCGTGGTTGGTCTGATGCCAGTCTGCCACTGTGTACTGGCTCAGTGGCGCCGTTCCGGTCACTAGCGGCAGTGATGGGAAGTCGAGGTTCGCCGGTCGGCCGCCGCCGGCGCTGCGGCAGCACTGGCAGCCGCCGGTCACGTCGCTGGTGTGGTGGAAGAGCGCGCTCATGACGGGACGGTGGTAGGGAACCGACTGAGGTCGCCCAGCCGGTTCCGAGCCGCCCAGACTGTTCGCGGGGTGACGGTATTGACCAAACACCGGCCCACCGTGTTTTCTGACAGAGGACAGCGCGGGCAGCCGCCTCCTGCTATTCCAACATTGCAGCAGTCGCGTGCCGTGCGGGGCTAATGGTTTCGAGTAGCAATCTGCCGTGACGTGCGACCCTATTTCCCAGGGAAATCGCGTGTTCCGTCCCAAAGGCATGCCTGCTTTGGAATGTTTGCGGTGAACGAATCGTAATTAACTTGTCCTATTGGAGTTCTGTAAATAACTGCGGATTTGGAACTTGGGACTTTGAATTTGTTGGATAGGTTTTGCTGTGGTCGTTTTAGAATGATAACTCATTCGAAAAATAATGACGCATTAAATGCAGTATACTGTTGAGATATACCCATAAATTGCTTCCGTATGAATCATGGCCTATCCAATGTCTTTGCTTTTTTGCATTATTTCCAACAATGAGCTTATGAATGTTTTGTTTGTTTCAGCTGTCAAAGTCGCAGAAAAGTGTGCCGCCGAAGTCGCAGACCCGGATTTCGGCGTTTTTCGGACGGGCTCCGGCCGCGCCCGCCACTGCGGCGTCCGACGTCATCACCCACTCCGCCGGAGCGGTGCGTCGCTCCCCACGAAAAAGACCTGCTCCCGATGACGTCATTAGTGTCGCGAAGCCGCTCAGCACCTCTCAGGCTGTGCCCGCCCCGCCGTGTGAGATAGACCTTGACGATTCTTGCGAGGTGATTCCGAACAACATGGGGAGAAACGATCGAGGGTCGGAGAAGGAGAACTGTTTGACTGGTATTTCTGACTGGACTAGTGCGACTGAGAAGGGTTTAGATTCTGGTGCTGGTGCCGGTGTAGGATATGCCCCCAGTGATGATAAGTGTTTCGACAGTGGTGCTAACGTACTTGGTGATACAGACAAACTCGCTGTTCCTGATGGAACTCGGTTAGTACAGAGACTAACCAAGAGACCCAGAAACGGGCCGGATGTGTCCCCAGATAGAAAACGATCGAACGTGACGTCATCCACCGCGGCGGACAGCGTTAGAAACCCTTCTGCCGCGGTAAGCCACCTGAGAAGATCTCCGAGGAAGCTGAATGGACCTGCGAAGTCGCTCACGATGACCAATTTCCCTCGGAGGTCGCCAAGAAAACCTTTAACCCGATTACCCGGAGAGACAGCGCCCAGAAAAGGACGAGACGCGGTCTCCGTGGATCTCGAGCGCGCACTGCTGGCAGGCGAGGTAGCCGCCGGCGTTCCGGTGATCAAAGTGAGCCCGAGTGCGAGGACTTCGGCCGGACAGATAGCTAGCGCCGAGCAACCGCACGGCAATGATATCAAATGCGAGATAGGTACGAATGCAGTGAGTAAACTGCAGTCTGCCAGTGACACGACCGCTGTGGCAGTGGACGGTGCTCCGTACGGGTCAGTCGAAAGGACAGAGGCGCGGACGGTTAGTGAGGGCTCCGGGCCGGTGAAGGTGAAGGCGGAGGATGCGGGCTGTGAGGTGGCCGTGGCGGCGATCACACCCCAGAAGAGGCCGCCCTGTCTCACTCCGGAGCCAGAGGAAGCGTCCGCTCTGCTGTTCGACTCGATGGCCGACCTCTTCTCATCACCGTTCAAGGAGGAAGGAGACTGCAGGTCAGTCCTTGGTGTACACCAATGTCATCACTCAGCCCTCGTGTCTGTCGTGGCGTGTCCGCAGCGGACACCGACTCATGTCCTCCATTTAGGGCTATGGTATTCCCTTTGGTCATGCATTATCTACCTAAAAACAGTTTTGAGGTTATTTTTTCATCGTCCTCTGAGCCACCTAGACTCGGGATGCATCTCTCGCTGCGCCTCCCAAAATATTCTTCCACGGACTTTCATCAGTCGCAACATAGCATTGGGCCAGACTCATATGGTGGCCGCTGGTCCGTAAAGCCGAAAACGACCTATCCATCCGTGTGTCCTATTCGCTGCCAATCTTGGCTTTATTATTATAAGGCTTGTTTTTGGTGCCAGATCTACTCAAAAGTAGCTAATGGCACATACATAAGGTGATATGACAACGGTGCTAAAACAGCACCTTTCCACTTACTGAAACTTAATCGAGATGATATGATGACTCTGACTTGACGGCAGATTAGTGGTCAATAGGCTCCCGATATTGGTGTGTACTGTGGAATGTGGAAGTACTGGAGTACTGTGGAAAGGGATGGAATGCAGACACTTGTGCAGTGTCGAACTTGCCTGGTAGAGAGCAGTCAGGCCAACACGACAATCGACTTTGACCATGCAGCTTGCAGAGGGGACGTCTTGCTCCCATCAGGTACGCGCTGCCAAGGTTGACGAGCCAAGGTTGGTGTTGAACCAGAAGATATCCAATTGGACAGTGGCAGTACGGTCAATCAGAACAACTGCCTATTAAAGTTGCACAGGGCGCCATACAGTAATTGAGGTGTTCTCATTGTGTGGCCAATGGCCATGATGCTGATCAATTATGGCATAATCTTTAAAATCGGAATTTCTTCTAAAAAAAAATATATTGTTTTTGAGTGAATCAACCATAAGAAAGAGCAAAGGAATAATTAACCTCGCAGTCGGCGCCCCCCTAACCCCCAACAAACAAACAAACACACGAATATGAGTTCGTAATTGCGTTCCTACATATTAAAACAGCACCAGCAAGTAAAGCCGTAGATAACTTATTTCATTTTTGATCGGCCGGAAAATAGCACGTTCCCGAAACAATATCCATGTTGGTTCTGGAGTTTGGTGAATTTAGTTTGGCCCTTTACGTTTTCAGTTTTTGTTTTCTTTATTTAAGATGGAGATCATTACTGCCCGCGATGCGAACTTTGTCCAGGTAGCCTGTGACAACGCTTATCAGTTCGTTGACTTGGTCACTGACTGCCAGAAACTATCGTGAAGAGCGCGAGATAAACTTTTCTCCTGGGTGCGGGCACCACAACATATTTTCCAGCTGTCCTTTTGCCGCCTCGGCCGGACTCGTTTTACCATGCCGTCGCTAAAAATGTCAGTCGCATCTGTTCAGTAACGCCTCTGTGTTCTTCGTCGTGCACTCGTACCGTGTCTGGCCTAACCGGGCTTTAACGGGCAATAGGCATTCCTTTCATACTTTATACTGAATCGACTCGGAGTTGCTTTGTCCCGCTGGCCAGGCGACCGAACTTCATTTTGGAAGCCGTGACAGCGGCCGCTGCAGCGCGGCTGTCAGAGAGACGACATCTGTCAGCCACCGCTATAATGTAGGCATAGTGTAATATAGTCACCGGTTGAGTCTTGAATGTAGTCATGTAAAACTGATTTACTTACGTTGTCTGTTCTGACTACTGCCGTTTATGCTGCCCGCCGATTAGACACCCAGGAACCCGCTCACGTTTTCGCCTTGTCCCGCGTTCTCCTTCCCTTTCTCACCTGTGCTATCACTGTGAAGTGGCTGTGGTGAATCGTAACGAGCTATTATCTTCGATTTCATAATTTGGTGATTTATGTTGATTGTATGATACACATTTTCTTTATGCTGACGCATGTAAAAAAGCTATTTTCATAAATTTGCCCTCTCAAAGTCCTAGCGCGAAAGGCGGTGAACTTCTTAAAATTACTGTATTACTATACTACTGATATGGAGTAGTATATGGTTCTGTTTTTCCTCAAAACTCGGAACTTCCTTTCAAAGCCCTTGCATGCCATTAAGCCACTACCATTACCATTAAAATGTGATCTACGACCACGGCAGTTTTCATTCCTTCAATATCTCACTGTAAAACAAAACTTGCCGTCTGCCGAGCCTTGGGATATATACAATGACTCAAATCACGAGAAAAAATCCTTCTGAGTTGGGATAGCATACAGCTTGGATTACCTCGAGCCAGAGGCGGTTCACGACGTCTAGCCTAAATGAACTTGGCTGCAGCACGCATGCACGGTGCACGTTGGTGCATGCGTGCTAGTAGGTAATCGATATATTGGGACGGGACAGGGCCCGTATCGGCCATATTTCAACGCTTTCGCACCGGGGGCAGATTTCGCACCGACCCTGTTTCGTACCCATGCATGGGTACGAGTTTCGTACCCATGCGTGGTACGCGCCGGAAAAAGGCAAATTTGCGTCATGGCCATGACGCAAATTTGCCCTTTTCCGGCGCGTACCACGCTCTCCTGTCCCCCCCCCCCCTTCTCCCCCCATCGGGCTCAGCCGATCAAAGTTACATGGCACATCCTTTGTCTGCACTGTGTGCGAATTTCACCGCGCTACCAGTGATGGTTTGGCCAGTACCCCGCAGTGCAGGACACTATGTCGGAACCTTGTTCTTCATAGACGGGGCAGGAAGACGGACAGACACACTCAACGTAAATAGTAATGTAGATGAATGAATGTTTTAATCATGTAAATATTGGAACATTAGATTATCAAGTTCAACGAACAAGAAGATATGGCGAAATATTGGTTACAGCATCACATTAGTAGAGCCAGCTACCGCTGGCATTTTTCGTCAGATGATTTGATTTGGTACAATTCCGTCTGCCAGAAACGGTGGGCGGAGCCCGTTTCATCTGAAACAGCACAAAAGCTGAATCGACACAGGCTTCAGAGTTCAGATAATACGAGAATAATATAGATAAGCTGGCCTCAGATCTTCTGATATCACTAGGAAAAACAGCATCACGATGGGCCACTTCTCAGAAGATCAGTGACCATTCAGCAGTCTCCGTTTATATTGGATATGTCAAATAAGAAATGCTATAGGTTCCGTAATGAACGAAGACGGAGTATATCTCTCCAATGTCTATTTCTAAATTAAAATTACCTCGTTACATGAATGTCGAATGAAAGCATCATCCGCATTTGGCTGTGTTTATCCAGATAGTTGTGAAAAAAAAAAATAGGACAGGCGTTTGGACGCGGGAAAGCCTTGGGGAAGCGACCGAAAAACTAGTTCCCGGTATTGGGCTAGGACCTGGCAATCAAAGTATGTTGACCCTAAAATTATGCTCCATGATTTAAGTTTGTATCATATAAAGCGCTGACCGTTCTCAAATTCACTTAATTTAATCGGCTAATGATGCTTAACGCGGGTCTGGATGCCAAGTCGGACTGGCGGCAGTATCACATTGCGCATTGTGCATATATTCAGGGCGGATACTGCAGCTCTGTACGCCACTCGAATGTGTGCTGGGTATATAGGGCCTTGGTTTGGTGCACGAAAAGCTGCACCAGTCGAGTCCATGCCGTTGACGATAAACTTGGATGACCTCAAATTACGTCAGTGACGTCATGTATGATGCCACGCAGGATCTAAGCTGAAAAGACCGAGTTCAACAGCCAAGATAACATTTCCAAAATAAAGAGAATATCCTTCGACGCGGCTGGACAAGACCAAGACCAACAAGGTGATGCCAAAATAGCGGCTCCATGATCATTTATTTGTAAAGTTATTCACACAAAACATCATAACCCAACCTTAGGCTTTTTGACGTTTCCTCAAAAGTCAACGGTTGACCTAAATATTTTACCAAATATATTTGTACCTTTGAGTTTGTAATATATATTACTAAATATATTACTAATCACTGCATCTCGTAGCGGCACACACGCTCGTTTTTTTTTTCCCGCGACGATCTACCTCAATGAATGGCGAAACAGGGAGGGGGTCGTAACCGCCCCTGCCTGTGCCCGGAGGCATGTAGAAAACCGACAGGCTAGGCGACGGTTCACGAAACTATTTCGCGAGCTGAATATTTGAAAAGTGAGCAGTGAGTGAGTGGGTGAGTGAGTGAGTGAGTGAGTGAGTGAGTGAGTGAGTGAGTGAGTGAGTGAGTGAGTGAGTGAGTGAGAGATGACTCCAGATCAAGTTATCGGTTAACATGACAAAAACAAGATGTCATCAAACCAGATAATGAGATAACAGCTATTCCAGGCCAAGTGATAGGCGAACGTGACGAAGACCATACGCTGTCAAAACAGATAATGAGATAACGCCAGAGAACCGTCAAAGGTCTTTCCGCCGGTCTGACCAGCCTGAAACAAAATAGCAGGAAGGATCTGCGACCGAGAGGGGATTGTGTAGGTCGGAGCCGGTCGGAGAGGGGATTGTGTAGGTCGGGGTCGGTCGGAGAGGGGATTGAGTAGGTCAGGTTCGGTCGGAGAGGGAATGGAGTAGGTCGTGTTCGGTCGGGGAGGGGATGGAGTAGGTCGTGTTCGGTCGGGGAGGGGATGGAGTAGGTCGTGTTCGGTCGGGGAGGGGATGGAGTAGGTCGTGTTCGGTCGGGGAGGGGATGGAGTAGGTCGTGTTCGGTCGGGGAGGGGATGGAGTAGGTCGTGTTCGGTCGGGGAGGGGATGGAGTAGGTCGTGTTCGGTCGGGGAGGGGATGGAGTAGGTCGTGTTCGGTCGGGGAGGGGATGGAGTAGGTCGTGTTCGGTCGGAGAGGGAATGGAGTAGGTCGTGTTCGGTCGGGGAGGGGATGGAGTAGGTCGTGTTCGGTCGGGGAGGGGATGGAGTAGGTCGTGTTCGGTCGGGGAGGGGATGGAGTAGGTCGTGTTCGGTCGGGGAGGGGATGGAGTAGGTCGTGTTCGGTCGGAGAGGGAATGGAGTAGGTCGTGTTCGGTCGGGGAGGGGATGGAGTAGGTCGTG